TAACATATACTATAATTATAATGCAAAATAGTGGTAAGCTCACGAACTCTTCATAAGTATTGTCCCCATAAGAACTCACACAATATGATATCCATATAGTCATATTCTTTTTTCTGATTATCCTACCATTCTGATTAACTTTATTAACAAATTGTTACATTCTAATGCTATTCCATAAATATAGGCATTATCAGAGTGTTTCCATACAATATGTCAGTAGTTGATTTTAAAAAGGTATATGCGTGAAGTCTATAACGTTACTTGTACAACTAAAAATTGTAATATTTAATGCATATTAAAATTAATTTAAATATCAAACTATATAGGAAATACTCAATACGTTTTTCTAGTGCTTCTCAAACCCTAATATTTGATAAATGTATTTGATAAATAAATGTAACTTAGCGTCAATAGTTAATGCCTTTATTGTTATAAATATATTTGTATCAGAGTCAACAAAAATCTATATACTTCATTTATTATTTCTATATTAATGAAAATATAAAAGTACCTGATGTCCCACCAGTCTTATGATATATGGCTGACAACTTAAGTTAAGAGCAATAATTATGATTAGTCATTATCAAATCATTAGTTGATGACTTTATTATTATAAATATATTCGCATCAGAGTCACCAAAACTCTATATACATCATCCATTATTTCTACATGATTGAAAATATGAAAACATCTGATGTCGTACCAGTCTTATGATATATACCTGACAATCTAACTTAAGAGTAATAAGATGCATGTTATTTCGAAAATAAATAAAATATTTGCTAGCTAAATATCACGATTTCTAATGTAGGTACGGAATTTGACATATTGTAAATGATATTAAGACAAAAAAATTGAAGTAAATATGACATAGGTATACTACATTGGAAAGCAGTAATACACTATATTGTTACTCATTGAACTGGAACTCACGGTACAATAGGTGATAAAAGCGTACAGTATTATATAGAGACGCAATACACTATATTATCACTCATTAAACTGGAACTCACAGTACAATAGGTGATCAAAGCGTATAATATTATATAGAGACGCGGATTTCAGAAACAAAAATCGGATACAAGAACATCTTAAAATAAAATCAAAGCCTTTATGATAAATGAACTGAAATAAAAATATTTTCTATAGACCCTAAATTTCCGAAGTAATTAAAAGAATTGATTATCTTCATTGTATTATTTTAATTTTAGGTCATGCTATTTTTTTGTCTTAAAGTTAATACAAGATTTTTTTGTTTCGTTCATCATTAGTTTTAAATATTTATTTAGCAAATTGAATTTTTTTCCAATTCTTTTTATTGATAACACAAAGCTTCTACATTCAATATATTACCAAAGCAATTGCTAATCTTCTTCTATATTTAACCACATTCGTTTTATATCAGTTATTAGTTGTATACTAAAAAAACCTCTATCCTCCTTTATTTCCATGTTTTAAACAAAATCATTTGTTATATAGTAAATATTACTTTTATTTATGGAGCTTTCTCTATATACACGTATCTCATGTTAAGTAGAAAAATTTAATTCTATATTAACATTTTGTGTTCAAAGCATACAAATACTTTTACATTATTAATAAATATTTATTTTGGTTTTTAAAAACAATATAAAAACAGTATTAAACAGTTTTAGCATTATTAATAATCCATTCACGAAATAGTGATACTTCCACGTACACACCAGGATAACCTTCATAAGCACATCCATAACCCCAAGAAACAATGCCAGTCAAATAACCACCAGAAACTAATGGACCACCAGAATCCTTTTGACAAGCATCCTTGCCTGTAGCAGATGCACAAATCATATCTGATTTTATACTTGAACCATATCTATAGGTACTTGAAGCACATTGTGCTGCACTTATGATATTAACATTAATATATTGTAGAGTATCGGAAATGACACCATTATAAGTTTTTGTACCCCAACCGACAACAACTGCTGAAGCTCCATTTGAAGGAAGCCAAGTTCCTAAATTAATTGTGCCTATGCTAGTACTATAATACAACATAGTTAGTAAACGTACAACTGCTACATCATTCTCCATTGTAGTGGGATTATAGCCTTCATGACTTCGATATGCAGCAACATTCAATAATGTACCACCTGAATTCCATGTCGAAGAACCAGCTCTAACTTTTAACTCATTGGTTGGTATTTTTTGCACACAATGAGCCGCGGTCACAATAATATAATTGTTATAAATGGAACCTCCACAAATATGTTGACCATTTCTTTGTATAGAAACTAAATAAGGAAATTGATTGATATTGCCTTCATTGCCACCAACTATTCGTCCATCGATATGTGGTGAAAGACTTTCCGGAACAACTGCGGCAAGAGCACATGTAACTGCAGACACCAAAATTACTAATTTAAACATGTCGATTAAGCAAACGAAAGTTAACTAATAAACTGACCCTATCAGAGATAGCATTTTATAGTTGATTTTAAAATCTATTTTTATGATATCAATAAAAATATTAGTACCCATAAAATGATAAGATTCGATAATACACTTTCAGATCATAATTTAATTATTAATTGAAAAATTATAGATTTGTATGTAAAAAACAGGTATAAATTTCAATTGGGATAGGACAAATGGCGCTTAGGGAATTCACAGTATTTGGTGTAAAATTCACAGAAATATCTTATCGGTATAATTAAAACACCATCTATTATAGTCTCTATGACTTCAAAATTAATATTATAAATAAACTTGTTACTAGTGTATCATATATACACGTATAGCACCATCTATAATTTTCTCATGATTTTAAAATTTATATTTAAATAATAACTGATAATCTATACAGGTTAGGTTAGGTTGGAGTAACCGTCTTCAGCCCAAGTTCACTACTGATCAACAAATAGTCCTTTTTGATACCACAGTCTCATTTATTGATCATTTATGCGCAGACATGCGTTATATTTTATTTATTTTATTTTAATTTTATAGAAATAATAATATGAAACTTTTATGTTCAATACTATAAGAAATAAGTATAGGAATGATTGTATATCCCAGTATAGTGTTGTGATAACCTAATAACCCATTAAAATAAAATAGTATGCAATTATTGTATATTCGATTCGGTAAAGTTAATTCTTTCTTCTTTCTAGTATTCCAATTTTTTTAATTGTTTTCCTTAAAAAGTATTTAAATATTATTACTGTCTTTGAATTCAGACAAACTCTTTTAAAATAATTTATTATGCTTAACATGCTTAACAACGAGTAAAAAATTTTTTACATTAAATGAAAACTATAACTCTGGATTTATCCGAAATTTACTTTTGATATGTCAAATTTTTGTAATTAAACGTTTTTTTTTTTTTAGAGTAATCTTATATAGTGATAGGGCACAATAGATCTTTTAGGTCGCAGTGCACGATCCCTTACTCAATAATATATAGTGATAAGTAGCAGACATTTTTATTACATATTTCATAAATACGTTTGGATGCCGAATCAAATCACATTTTCTCTAGCAAGTCATATAAAACATCTGTTAATTTCAAGGTAATCTTGCTGCTCTTGCAAAATACCTATGGCGTTTTCGATAAATCTGGAACAACTTTTTTAATCGAGATTCACTTTTATTGGAATTTTCATTTTCGATTGGTAAATCTGTATAACACTTGAGATTTATGTATAACACTTGTGATTAATTTATAGCACTCTAGATATTTAGTCAGAGTAGGAAGATTACCCTGAAATTTATAGTAAAGTGAAGGCTCACGCTGATGAGCAGCTCTTCAATATGAGCGAATTTTGTGCTCAAGTAATAATTGGATCTTGCTCATGAACCTGAGCTGCTCATGAGTGAGCAAATACGAGCCCTGATAGAAATAGTAAAAATTTACTTAAAATCACTGAAAACTCAATAATGTTACTAAAGGTAGTGAAATTTGTCTTAAAACTAGTGAAATTTATTTTAATAATTTTATAATTATAATAAATAGCATATTCTTAACATGCTCTCTTATTTATTTATCATCCGGTTCTAATGGCAAAAAGAAAGAGTGAAAAATTTTTATTCCCATGTTTTCATTTAAATATCATTAAAAGCTCTTATAATAATTTTTTCCATTATAATCATCTGTTAGATTTATTCTTAATCTTCGAATTCTTGTACTGACTGCTGTCCCTTAATACAACAATCAGCATTTTAAATTTAAAGATTGAGCGGAAATTATAATATGACTATAGGGAGATATAATTTACTATACCTTATAAACTCCATTAGTTATATTTTTGGGTACTTTTGCTATATTTCGATAAATACTCATATTATTAATAATTAAACTTAATAAACTGTGTTATTTTTGTGTAAAGTGAATATTTTTATTATTTATGTACATTCATTTAATATATTATGTCTTAACTAATAAAATCGAGTTTTTTATTTATATATCATTTTTCTTAGAGCGTATTAATACTGCACTGATGTATAGCATTGAATTAATAAATCTATTTCCATTTTTTAGTTCTAAAATTAACAAGAAATTTACAAATTCAAATATTGCTTTAAATGTTATTAGCATTATTAACAATCCAAGCACGCACTTGTGCAACATCTGTGTAAACACCTGGATATCCGTCATAAGCGCATCCATAACCCCAAGAAACAATACCAGTCAAAGCATTGCCAGAAACTAATGGACCACCAGAATCTTTTTGACAAGCATCTTTACCCGCAGCAAATGCACAAATCATATCTGATTTTATACTTGAACCATATCTGTAGGTACTAGATGCACACTGTGCTGTACTAATGATACTGACATCAATATATCGTAGATTATCAGAAATTTCACCATTGTAAGATTTTGTGCCCCAACCGACAACAACTGCTGAAGCTCCATTTGATGGAGACCAAGTTGCTAAATTGATTCTATTCATAGTAGAACCCAAGGATAAAATAGTCTGTAAACGTATAATTGCTACATCATTTTCCATTGTAGTGGGATTATAACCTTCGTGATTACGAAATGAGCTAACATAAGACAATGTGCCACCTGTATACCATGTCGAAGAACCAGCTCTTACTCTTAAATCATTGGTCGAAGCTTTTTGCAAACAATGAGCCGCAGTCACAACAATATTATTGCTATAAATGGAACCTCCACAAACGTGTTGACCATTTCTTTGTATAGAAACTAAATAAGGATATTGATAGATATTGCCTTCGTTGCCACCAACTATTCGTCCATCGATCTGTGGTGAAAGACCTTCCGGTACAACTCCGCCTAGAACACACGCAACAGCGGACACCAAAATCACTAATTTAAACATATCGATTAAGCAAACGAAAGTGTACTAATAAACTGACTCTGTCAGGGGCAACATTTTATAGTTGTTAAAAATTTAATTTTATTTAATCAGTAGTAATATATTTTTACTTACAAAACACAATAGTCATATCTTAATATGATAAGATTCGATGATTACCTTTCAAATCGAAATAGAATTAATAATTAAAAGAATATAGATAACATATGTATGTAAAACCATAGGTATTAATTTTGATTGACATAGGAGAACTAGCGCTTAGGGTATTCACAGTATTTAGTGTGAAATACACAAAAATATCTTATCAGTATATATTATTTATGACATCAAAATTTATGTTTGAATAAGAACTGGTAATCCTACTATTATATCCATACTTAAAGCACCATCTATAATTTTCTCTCCAACTTCAAAATTTATATTAATCTTTATATTATATTTATTTTATTTTTATTCTCTAATGTATAAAAATAGTTCGTACACCTTTTATTAAATTATTTAAAATAAGAGACGTTTTTGAAACATTCAATTTCGAAATGCTTATTTTATTGAGAGATAAACCATTTTTGTGAGGTTTTTCTAATTATAAATCACGAAACTGTGATATAAATGTAGACCATGTGATTTTAGTATTAAATATATAATTGCTGTAAGAAATGGACAGGATATGGGTTGACTCCATACTAACATATAGATATCATACAATGGTATAATAACTCAATAAACTAATAAAATGCAGTTGTAGTTAATTATGCTTAAGTAGCTTGGTCTTAGTGTGGAAGCTCAGATATTGTTAGGCAGTTAATAGACCGGAGAGCAATAATAAATAGTTCATTCGTAACAGAACTGTCTTATATATGTGAAAGGTATTAAAGCTAAATCAAATGCTTTTCCATATATATTTTAATTAAGTTTCTTATTGTTGGTTTATCTGAAGAGCGGTTAAGGTTTCAGTCTATTCTATATTATGCTAGATACAGATTTTTCTAAATTAACTTATTATTTCCACATTCGATAATCCCAATTTAAATTTTATGTAAATAGTCTATGTTCACTTTATAGGTCTAGAGTAAGTCAGACTAAACTAACCTTTACTATTTCAAAAATGCCATTGTTTCTAAATTTTTCGGATTTTTTATCAGGGATCGATGTTATAACAACTTATTTTGTAATTATTGAATTAAGACTTTTTATAGTATATAAAAACCTAAAATACTTTTAATTAAATAAGTTATATATGCGGCATTAAATAACAAACACATTATTCACAGAAAGTGAACTCAAACCAATCAAATAATCCCTGCAATCTTTATTTTTATGTATTCCGATTGATAAAGCGTTTGCTATAAAATGAAATTGATGAAATTTGTAATGACTTCACTCTTCTAAAAACTTCTGCTCTTTGTGTATGTTACTTGTAATACTTCTCCTCGTGTCAGTACTCATCATTGGATAAAAGACGACTCAAAATCTATGGGTTCGCTTATTTAACTGACCTGATACAACTACCATCCATTAATATTAGAGCCAAACCCAAGTTTATAGACTTATCAGCTAAGCCCCCTTTGAGTTCAATGGGGTAATTCGATTCTTCTCAAAAGGATACAGTTTACGTGTCAAATGCTTTGGACTTTTTTCTTTAAGGCAGTACCTTAGGTTTAACATTTGGATAGTGTGTCATCTGTAGTATTACAACGGGACATTTTTTACCTTCAATTGGCTTTGGTGTACAAGGGTGTCACTCTATCCTAACCTAGCCTATGTACTTATGAGGATGGCTACATCTCTTTATAACTTTATTGCTATATTTTGATTAATACTCATGGTTTGAATAATTGAAAAACATGTATTGTATAACTTAGTTATTACTTTTGTTGCAAAGTAAATATTTTTATTATTTATGTACATTCATTTAATATATTATGAATTAACTAATAAAATCGAGTTTTTTATTTATATATCATTTTTCTTAGAGCATATTAATACTGCAATGTTACAAAGCATTAAATTCCATTTTTTAGTTCCAAAATTAACAAGAAATTTACAAATTTCAAATATTGCTTTAAATGCTATTAGCATTATTAACAATCCAAGTACGCACTTGTGCTACATCTGTGTAAACACCTGGATATCCGTCATAAGCGCATCCATAACCCCAAGAAACAATGCCAGTCAAATAACCACCAGAAACTAATGGACCACCAGAATCTTTTTGACAAGCATCCTTACCCGCAGCAAATGCACAAATCATATCTGATTTTATACTTGAACCATATCTGTAGGCACTAGAAGCACACTGTGCTGTACTAATGATACTGACATCAATATATCGTAGATTATTAGAAATTCCACCATTGTAAGATGTTGTGCCCCAACCGACAACAACTGCTGAAGCTCCATTTGATGGAGACCAAGTTAATAAATTAATTCTGCTTATGGAAGTACTATAGGTCAAATAGCTAGATAAACGTATAATTGCTACATCATTTTCCATTGTAGTGGGATTATAACCTTCATGATTACGATATGAATAAACATTAGATAATATGCCACCTGTATTCCATGTCGAAGAACCAGCTCTTACTCTTAAATCATTCGTCGAAACTTTTTGCAAACAATGAGCCGCAGTCACAACAATATTATTGCTATAAATGGAACCTCCACAAACGTGTTGACCATTTCTTTGTATAGAAACTAAATAAGGATATTGAATGATATTGCCTTCATTGCCACCAACTATTCGTCCATCGATCTGTGGTGAAAGACCTTCCGGTACGATTCCGCCTAGAACACACGCAATAGCGGACACCAATATTACTAATTTAAACATATCGATTAGGCAAACAAAACTGAACTAATATTTTTACCCTATTAGGGTTAGCATTTTATAGTTTAATTTAAAAATTTGTTGTATTTTATCAATAAGAATATACAATGTTTATATTTCAAGAACTATATTGCTCACATTCGTTAAATGATAAGATTCGATTAATAATTATTAATTATTTAAATATTTAATTATATTTTAACTATTGATTATAAGCGAAGTAAATATGTATATTATTGATATTGATTTTCAGTGGGAAAGCTAGAGTTTAGGGAATTCACAAAATCTACTGTAATATATATAGAAATATCTTATCATTTTAAATACAAAATATTGACAAAAAAATATTTTCTCCATAATTTCACAATTCATTTAAAACAAAAGATTGATAAAGGGAAATATATTTTCGTTTAATTTCTATCATATGATAATCTGGTAAGCAATTTTTTATTCATAAGTAATTCTAATATTACTTTTGTTGAAATTGTTCTATTTTCTACTCTATTTTTTTATTTAAACTTTTTTATTTAATTTATAATATAAATTTTATATTGATAT